AACACCTGGGACGAATGTGACCGCGAATCCCACAGTAGTGGTAAACAGGTATAAAGTTCTTACCAGAATTTTTGTGTTGTGCTTTTGGAGAGTTTGGCTTACCTTTATTGGAATCAATTGAGTAACCTTCTTTAACAAAAGTTAGATCAGCCTTACTCAGTGAGGAACTCGATTCACCAACCTTCCCTTTCAGTTTTTGGTTGTGAAGATTCTTACTCGGGTTGGATGAGCCAATCTGCTGACTCAATCTTTGAACCTCAGCGTATGATGACTTTGGCTTGTTGATCAGTTTGACAACTTCCTCACTCTTACTGAGCCTTTCTTCAAGAGTAGAGCAATGACTTCGAAGTGTCAAATGTTCCTCCATCACTCGACCGAGTTCCTCCTTGAGAACAACTATTTCAATTTCTCTCTCACCTACAAGATTCCGTACAGCAAACAATTCGTTACGTAGAGATTCAATAGTAAAATTTTGCTCGTCACTTTCTGTTTGTTGAATTTATCCCCATGCTCAACCAGTGCAAGCTTTGCAAAACAACTGTTAAGGTCCTTGTCTTGCTTTCCGATATGAAGGTCTGATTTGATGAGTTTCTCATTCAGATCAATGGTCATCACCCGCATCTTTTGAAGTTCATCCCTAAGATAGACAATCTCCTTCTCACGTTCAGCAGATCGATGTTCCATAGCCTTCATCTTCTGTTTTTGAGCCTGGTACTTCTTGATGATCTCCGCTGCCTTGAGACATTATTCTATAGCATATTTGTGGAGTACGAGATATTCAGCAGCTGGATCCGAGAATTCATCCGATTCCACATCGCTCAAATTCTTCGCGTAAGAACCTGCGTCAGACTCTACATCAGTCAAATGGACAGAGGATGTAAAACAGTTATATTTATTAATAAGACATTTAGCAGAGTTATTTGAGTAGTTAGAATTCTCAGTCTTTTCAGATTCTTCCTCCTCGTCGTCACTGGAGTCAGACCACGTAGTCTTGAACGTCTTGTTCTTCTTCCTGAAGTTAGGACATTCCTTTTAAAAGTAGTTGAAACCCTTGCATTCACGACACTGGTCTTTTTCAACTCCTTGGTTAGAATTCTAAAACTTGTTCAGCTGCATGCCGGAACGCTTTTCTCCGAATTGCTTAATTTGGTTTCTACCACCATCAAAGGACTTATTACCCTGAAACCTCTTTTTTTGAAATTTTTTCACCTTCGAGACATTCTTAGTAAGTACAGTCAGAGCCTTTGTGATTTCATCAGCATCAAAGGATTCTTCATCGGATTCTTCATCTTCAGCAACTGCAGTACGAACTAGAGATGTCAAAACGGGCTGGCGGGGTGGGCCAGCCCGCAG